TGATCAACAGCATGAGCATCGATCTATGCAGTTCGGATACGATGACACGATCAAACCAGTGTGTCAACGTTCTCGACATTCTTATGAATATGGGAAGGATGTTGTTGCCATATTTAAGAATATTCTTTTCTTCGATCAATAAATAACCAGTAACAGTGAACCTTTGTTTTCACGTTTCCGACATGTCTGATGGAAACATCCACCTCTTCTCTTACAGCTTCTTGAAGCATCTTCAGAGTATCGAGGCTGAATACAGACAGGACATGGAGAAGGTGAGGCGAGAGCTCCGATTGATGCAGAGAACAAATGCCCGGATTGAGAAGGACCTCAAATTCTATCAAAAAGAGTACGGCAACTACAAGCGAATCTGGCACATTAACCAGCCCAAGCTTCTCGACCTAAAGATGAATCTGGTCAAAAACCAACCGCTGAAGAAGGTCGTTGACAGGCTGCATTCCCTCCAAAATGAAAACAAAGTTTTGAGGAAATCCTATTTCAAGACTGTTCTGGAAAACAATTCTCTGAGGAAACTCTGGATGAACATGGAGGGTGAGGATATTGAGAACGAAGAACTCCCAAATGTTGAGGACATGAGAGAGGCAATAGTTCCTAGACCTCCCACAGCTCTTGATAATGGCCGGGAGGGATCAGCCAGACGGCGTCCATACACAGGCAAGTCCAGGAAGGACCAGCTTCATCTGCCGCCTATCACGGAGAATAACAAAACGGTGGCGTCTCACAAGCAGACGTCATATACATCATCTGAGAAGAAACAAAGCAAATCTCCCGTTCATCTGCCACAGCTGGTCCCCACTCCTCCAACAGGTCCACGTAGAAATCCTCCAAGCAGACGCCAGAGCAGAATTCCAGTGGCCTTACCACCAATCCGTGGAGCGACTTCTGTAGATGGTGTTCGGTTTCGCCGGAAGGGTGTGTAGGAGATTGACCGCAAGTCACAAGATATGGAGTGGGCAGGAGCGCGTCGTGGTTAAACATAGAATGATTCTCTGCAGATATGGGACATTTGTGTTCTTAACATTAACTTCTTGGAAGTGGTGTTTCAGCAGACATAATGGCAGGTGTATAGGAGAGTGGCTGCAAGATCTGGAAGGGGCAGGAGTGTCTCGTGATTAAGGGTGGATCGAGCAGAAAACATGGCTGGATGATTTTATAATGTATAGTTTCTGTGTGCATCTGTGACATGTGGTCTTGAAGGACACATCAGCCTTTAAGTCCACCGTCAGGCGTGAATGAAACTTACAAACCTCATGTGCATATCACTCTGTCATAAATTCTAATCATTTCCTTTCATTCACTCTGAGGGCGGCCAGGGTAGCTTAGTGGTTAAGGCGTTAGCTCGCTACGACGGAGACCCGGGTTTGATTCCTCACACTGGTACATTGTGTCCCTGTCATGATATTGCTGGAATATTGCTAAAAGCGGTGTAAAACGTATCTCACTCCCTCACTCAGTATATCCAACTAGCCATCCATCCTTCCAGGGCGGCCAGGGTAGCTTAGTGGTTAAGGCGTTAGCTCGCTACGACGGAGACCTGGGTTTGATTCCTCACACTGGTACATTGTGTCCCTGTCATGATATTGCTGGAATATTGCTAAAAGCGGTGTAAAACGTATCTCACTCCCTCACTCAGTATATCCAACTAGCTATCCATCCTTCCATCCACTCATCCTTGCACCCCTCGGCCACGTCTCTATATACAACGAAGCTTTAAGTCTGAAATGTATTCACATTTAATCAATTCTATCTTCGATGGTTTCATCACGACCATATCTGTCCAGAAATCGTACACATTATCCAAGTCGGCTTGGTCCATTCACTGTTTAAATGCTCAACCAATCCATAGTGTGACGTGTACATCCATTGAAACAGAGGACATAAATAAATCTCTGAAGTATTTCTGTTTTGAAGTGCTCGGAGTCCCACACGGCAAGGAAAATGATCTAAACTCTAAAGATCGTGAAGGACATATCTGTATGCATATATATATATTTAGAATTCTCCCCGGTGTATTTTGGTGCTGACTTGTTTATTTATACATTCATTCTACTTTTGCCTGTTTTGCGTAGCACTATTTTGCAAGGTGCTTCCATATTTTTAAGATATTCAATGGAATCATGCTTGCCCGAATCCTACTTATCCAGAATACCAGAAAATGATTTTGAAAAATAGATAAAAGAATTTGCGTTAAAAATTCAAGATCTCATTTATATTCACTTCTCCAGATGGTTCCTTCCAAAGACCGGATATGTAGGGTTCCACTATGTGGACATGTTATATTCATGTGTCCTTTATGCAATGGGACTTTATGGAAACCTTATACATTTACCTTTACAAATATTATTACATCGTTGTTACTGATGGTTGTTTTTTATACTATTGTCAAACTTATTACACTGTCATATATTCATGTAAACAAGTACAGGTGCGAACTGAATGAAATAAATAGTTGTTCACAAAATCTACTGTTTTCATTTCATGTTCAAGTGCTGTGATCTCTTGATATTTCCAGAGAGTGTGAAAGTCTTTAATGAAAGTGTCACATACTAAAGTAAACACAATCCCGAAATTAAAAGTAAACATAATGTTGCCTAAACCTTCTTCGCTTTCAAAGATTCATACATGCTATCACTCACAAGTTCATTGTCACAATCACCAAACACGCTCACTGTCGTTTCCCTACTCACCTAAGCCCGCACATCACACCCCAACATTCACATGCACTCACAACATCGCAACATTACAAATATATTTAAAAAGAAACACAAACAATTTAATAGTGAGTATTGTTAGTTTTGATACTAATAGTCTTCATTGATTAATGAAGAGGGGATACGGGCAGAAGTCTTACCTTGATTGACCCCAAGCTTACTTCCCAGATACATTCAATGGTCTCTCATACTGCACACCTCCAACACAGACAATCGCTCAATGCTTACATCACTGTCCTTCTGGCACGTCCTTGCTCAAATCCTATCACACCTCAAACATTGTACTAATTGTAATCTTGACAATACTTCCCCCCTCAGATAACTGTTCACGAAACAGTTATAATACTCAAAAGATCACACGAACTATTTACATGATATATTTGCCTGATGTAAGTCATATCTCGGAGGATACACCAATAAATACAAGCCACAAGATATAACTCTCTTAAGGTGGGCATTGTTTGGGCAAGTCAGCACCAACATTCTCAGTACCTTTCACCACATGTAGCGAGTGAGTGAGTGAGTTTAGTTTTACGCCGCTTTTAGCAATATTCTAGCATTATCACGGCCGGGGACAACAGAAATGGGCTTCACACATTGTGCCCATGTGGGGAATCGAACCCGGGTCTTCAGCGTGACGAGCGAACGCCTTAACCACTAGACTACCCCACCGCCCTTCACCACATGTATGGAATAACACAAGCCCTGGTCGGTTCTGAGTAAGTATACTGTGCAGTGCTCCAGATAATTTTTCAACATCAGGAGTACGTACTCCTTATTTTATCAATACAGGAGTACTGGAAAACCTTAAGAGTACATTTAGAGTACTGAATGGAATTTAATGGAGTACCAGTAATCTTGTGTTTCGTTTCATATATGCACCACAACATTGCTACTCAGTACTCTTGTGTAAACAGGTAGAAAAACAATAAAACAAAACTTTTTCAGATAAATACGTCTGTAAATGATTCTAAGATCGTAACACCATTGCTGTTTTGCGTATCTGCTACGTTTTCTAAATTATTTCCTACAGTATCGTGCATATATTTTATTCGTACATACGTCGATACGGCCCTTATTTCAGTGAGCTATCCCTATAAACCTGCATCAGCCTGCACAGGCACACACGCACATGCGCATCGCTACATATAAGTTTAATAATCTCAGGCAACGCGACGTTACACCCCAGTTCACATCAATTCAGCTTCGATCAAATGTTTTAGGTATTGTTCTATCAGATTTATAACCAGAAAGTCGTGTCATTGTATATTATCACATCAATAGTTATATTATCACATCGATAATGCCTTTTTACCTATGGGGGCGGTGGGGTAGCCCAGAGGTTAAGGCGTTCGCTCGTCACGCCGAAGGCCCGGGTTCGATTCTCCACATGGGCACAATGTGTGAAGCCCATTTCTGGTGTCCCCGGTCGTGATATTGCTGGAATATTGCTAAAAGTGGCGTAAACCCCAACTCACTTACTCTTAGTTCTGATGAGATGTTAGTACCTGATGTATCGTTTGTGAGTGAGTTTTACGGTTCTTTTAGCAGTATCAAGACACGGGAGACATGGGTTGCTACACAAATCTTATTTAGCCATGTTTGCAATCGAAGCCTGGTAATTGACAAGTGAACAGTTGAATCAGTAAGCTACCCATACCATCGCCCCTTTACGTGGTACGTTCTCAGACGGCAATGATTATCGCGATTACTCACGCTGTATCGAAGAGCGTTGCATCACACAGACATTGTGAATACAATGGTTCGTTTTCAAGATAAGGTTGTCTTTTGTGTGGTGGTGAGACGTTTGACAGTTTAAATTATTCATATGATCTGCGAGAAAACGAAGATTTCTTTAGCACAGGCGGATTCAGAGGTGAGTGTGTGTGTGTGTGTTTGAAATTTTATTAAATGACCACTGAAACGCTCGTGATAATGAAGTGTGCACCCTCCTTTCTTAATAGTGTGCAGCCCCACTTTCTCAAAAAGCTGTATCCGCCCCTGTTAAGTGTCCGAAAACCCTTAATACTAGGACATTTTTGTTGTTGATGCATGGCATTAAACGGTTGACAAATATTTCAGATTAACATGTTTTATCTAAATCGAGAAATGAATGTTATGCGAGCGGTGATGTGAAGGCAAACTCGTCTTGGCCATGATACGAAATGCATTATATTGTATCTGCTCCAACGTGATAGGTTTCATAATTTCATCACTAGTGGTTTACCGAATACCGAATAGAAGTAAATTTAGAGTTACCTCCCTTATAACACGAAAGAGTTTAATGCTTTTGTCAGTAAATTAGTCTTTCGAAAGTTCGGACGCCAGTGCTATCATAGAAGCGCAACAGTTACAGGAATCACAGAAGCGGCAGGTAGACAGGTTTGTGTTTGCAACTCTGCAAGGTATTTCTTTTCAAAGCCGAATGTTTAGTTGGATGCCACAAGCCGAGTGACATTATCTTCATTTCAAGATTTACAGACTTGCAGACTGCTTTAGCGCGCACAGTGCAATTGAAAAAGGAAATTCAGTCTGACCAAGATTCTAGCATGTGAGACACTCATTTGGAATATCGGCTTTTGCATCTGTATGGATTACTGAAACAGTAAACTTCCATCTTTGGTCAAAGTCATGTTGACCAAACCATTAGAAGCGTCCGTAAACTGCACACAATCCATCAAACTGAACGTCGAATCTCGCAAAAACACTTTGAGTATGAATTACATTTGTCATGCTACCGTTTATTAATTCGAACCTCATTATCATTTCTGAATTCAATCATATATTTGTGTGTATGTGAGTGTCTACCCCAAATTCAACATGTCTGGAACAGTGGTCTGGTGAATAGCAATTAGCACCTTTAGAATACAGCACCATAACTTCTCGTGAGGACGATCTCTGCCGTAGGTCACATGTCATTAAGACAAGCAACCAGTTTGTGAGAACCCATTTTTCACTATGGGTACCCAGATGATATCTCAGAATTCTTGACTGAATAACAGCTTCGTCTTAGAATTAATTGGGAAATGTAGAACTTTATCCCTGTATATTTCAGACATTTTACAAACTGGCTGCAAAATATGTTCATCTAGATTATTATGAGAAGATTTCCAAACATGTTGAAGTTTGATCACTCCCAGTGACTAAAAATGTTAGGATTGAAAGAACATTGAAGTCAATGTTTTGGCTCAATTAATAGCATAATTCATCAGTTATGCACTTTGAAGGAATGAAAACAAAATATAAATATATCTTAAATGACAACTGACAAACTTTGTATGAGTAATATTAGGCAGTTACCTTGTTCAAGGAATGTTGCTGTCAATGATAATTTTATATCCAGCTGATCAACAAATATGTTCCATGTCAAATGTCATTTAACAATCTAATATTGTAAACCATTTTGAGCGGTTACAGGATATTATAACTCGTGATAGCATTTCAACATTTAACTGATCGTGACACCTTGATCTGTCCTCGACTGTATGGGTTTTGTTTTACACAACAAACAACACATTGCTGGGAAGCTATCCCACTCAAGGTCCTTAACAGTTTTACAGAACTGTCTCACAATCCTTATCTTGATGTTGCCAGGGTGAGCTCTTAACATGCTCATAAAATATGTCTCGTTTGGAAATGTTTTAGAAAACATGGTAGTTTCTCATGAACCACAAATCTTCAACCAGTCAGCTGGGTAAGAATGGGATAATTTGTAGACACATCGCTTCAGAGGCGTCAACCCCGGAACTAGGTCTGACAAGATAACAGTTTTTAATTTCATTCTATTTTGGTGATTTCATACTTTATTGGTGATTACTAACCGTGTAACTTTTGTATGACTATAGAATTTGGAATTAGGAAATTATTACACTGGGCATCAAATGAAGGAAATATGGTAGATTCACTGTTATTTGAACATTGGTAAACAAGATAAAACTTGATGATGTTTAAGGCAAAGAGCACACAAACTACATTACAACACTCATTTCATTTTTCCAAAGCCTGTTTCTGATGGATATACATGTATATCAATTTCTATTGTGTTTATGAGGCCCAAAAAGCACATTTTCATCTCAATCAACATGTATCAGAACTTAACTTCCATTAACTTATTGTCCAATTTCATCCAATCCTGGGATTTAGCTGAGAAAATGCACAAACACACCCCACTAGCTCTCTTATTGTTTTTTGTGAGTTCATTTTCTGAGCTGTTTTTGTTTTCGTTTAATTTCAGATGTTATCCTGTGCTAAAATATTCAGCCCTGGTGAAGTGATGGATTGTTTGCCTAATCTTTAAAAGTAAAACAATCAAACAGAATGACTGGGATGAAGAACTGTAGACTGTGATGAACACTGCCAAACAATAATGCATATATATGTAAAAGTACAGCCTATATAGGATGCTGATAATAATGTGGCTGCATCAAGCATATATAAATTGCAGTTATTCTGGAGCAGTCAGTTTTGTGTATTTGTGTCCAGAAAAATGTTTATACTGGTGAGGTATAAAAGGTTATTTGCTTAAAAATGTGTCATTGACATTGTGGCTTGGTGTCCTGATTACCGTGCTATGGAAAAAGACACCGATCTGAATGTATTTGGAGCCGATTACTACATTACTGATCAGTCACAGGATAGATATGCCATGCCCACAAGCAGCAAGCCCTCTTCAAATAAGTGCACAAAGATGAGCATGAAAGAACCAATAAATTCCACAAAACATTCAAAAGTATTAATCCAGCAATCTACAGGTTATCCACTCTCAGTGACCATGCCTTCAGTCAAAGACAAACCTCAAAGTCCAAAAATGTCCACTGTTACCATCAAGCAACCTGTGGGAAACCTTTTGATTTTGAACACCAGTGGGCAAATGACAGCTTTTGGGAAAAGTGTTTTGTTAGGAAGTTCTGCACAAGGAACTACTCTACAAATGACTTCTCACCTTCCACAGTCTTCATTCTCTGGAAGTCTCTTAAAATCAAAATCACAGCAACCAACAATTTCAGAGGTTCCTGGACCAACAGTTCCTATAACTGCCCAGACTAGTGTCCAACCAACAATAACCAGAACAGTTCCTGGCATGTCATGTGATAAAGTCCAGATTGAAGCTTCAAAAAGACAGGCAGACGTCCACAATATGTACTGTGATGATCAGTACCCCTTCACTTCAAGTTACTATGGGAAAGTACCTTACACCTTAGATATAGCTTCACAATTAGCATCAGCTGTGTCTAAGGATGAAATTACCAACATCTTTCAAAGCTATTTGAAGTCAAGAAGACTTACAGACTCATCCTCTGATCATCATACAACAGACTCTAGATTTAACTTCAGTGCTGATGATCAAAAGAAAACCGATATGGCTCCTCAAGGAACCAGTGGAAGTAATTCATGGAGGACACCTTCTCAAGGATTGTCTGAAGAACAAGCTGGAATCACTGAGAAGATGCCCAATGTGTCTCAAGAGACCTGCAGTGAAATTTCTTTGACCTGCAGTGAAAGTGCTTTGAATATGGACTCTGAAGAAGAGGATAGCCCTGGAATCAGAGTGACATTTTCAGAAGATTTGGTCAGAAAATTTACTGATACTGATAGCCAACCAGCCATTGGAATTCCTGTTACTGATACCATCGATGCTGTTGATGGGGGTATCATCTTAGGTCAGGATACTGAGGACATGCAAACCAGACCGCAAAGTCCAACTTTTGAGAAGACTCCAAAAGAAGTGAAGGAAAAGCCTGCAAAGAAGGAGATCGAGACATCATCAAGTTTCAGAATCGGTGCCATGGAGTTTAATACTGAGACTCTGTATAGCCTCATCATTGAGGAGAAGTCTGAGACAGAGTATTTGTGTAAGAACTGCAAGGAGGTGTTACCAGATAAAGAAAGGGCAGTCATGCACATGGATGTCCATCACCCATACAGATGCAGTGTATGCAGTAGGACCTTCGGCACCATTGGGGATTTTCGGGAACATCGCAAAACTGCACATGGGGAAGTTCTATATTGTACAAGGTGTACATTCAGTACACCACTGATTAGTAAACTACAGCGACATGTGAAAGCTGTGCACAATCCGTATGAATCCAGTGCAAGTAAATTTGACAATTGTGTGTGTCACATCTGTGGGATGACTTTCACAGTGTGGGATTCTGCAGGAAACCATATGGAAGAGGTCCATGGTATAACCCACATAGCAAGAGAGGGAGACCTCAGGTGCCCAATTTGTAACTACCTGTCAGGGAGTAAAACATCCTTCCGAAACCACATGAAGAAGCATGCTGGGTTGTACATCCACTGCAAGTTTGAAGGCTGTAAGTATAAGTCAGTGTTGTCGAGACTTGTTGATCTTCACTACGACAGAGTACATCTTGGTAAGAGGTCATTTCCTTGCCCTTTTGAAGGCTGTAATGTGAGATCAAAGAAGAAGACTGAACTGGATATTCACATGAACATATCTCATTACAAAATAAGGAAGTACAAGTGCGAACAGTGCGGGAAAGGTTTCATGGCAAAGAAACACCTGTATGTCCATTTGAGAATTCATTCAGATTCGAAGCCAGTGCAGTGCAACTTCTGTGATTATAGATGTCGACAGAAGTCTTCGTTGAACTGGCACATGAAGAAGCGTCATCCTGACATGGTGGAGGAGAAGGAGAAGGCCACATACAATGCTGTTCCTGGTATTCCCGCCTTCCGCCACCTGATGAAGCCAGGGAGGAAGGGGAGGAAGAAAAAGAAGAAGAAACAGGAGAGTGATAGTGAGGACCATGATGAACTGGATGAGGTGGACGAGCAAGATGAACATGATGAACGGAACAGCTCCCATTCCTCCTTGGTGGATCAAGACAATGTCCCATGCTCTTCCACAACGGGGATCAGTGACAGTGGACAATGAGACACCGGTGCCTAATATGTTGGTATTTGAGTTTGCTGTGGACGATCAGCTCATTAGTTGGTCTATAATGATTCAATGGTTTGAAAATTTAGTGAAAGCACAGTATTTATGGATTGCATTCATGATTTTGTTCAAGAAGAGTTCTCAAGCCATTGTTGCTTTATAATGCAAGTCATTTTCAAGGTTTGATTGGGGCAACAGGGATTTAACTTGGTTATTTATTATAGGGGTGCAGCCGACTCTAATCTTTTAATTATTGTGGTATCACGTCGGAAAATCCAATTAACCAATTAATTTCTCAGAGAAAAGTAAAATATTTTTACATCATCATACCTCAAGGTGACGGAAGTTTGCAAATATTTAGCGGTGAATAGTAGATATGAAGTTCCCTTCAGGTGTGAAGGTAATTTGAAGGCATATTGTTTGTTTTATAATGATAACTGAAGGGAATTAATTTAAATTTAAGATAAATTTTCTTAGTCAATGCCATCAATCTGCATTGTTTTTGTGCATCTTGTTTTCAATTTTTCTGAGTAATGGATGCGGGATTTCAGTCTCTGTATCATACCAGAGTGTGTCACATGTATCATGACCTACAATCAAGTGTTGTTTCAGCCCTGTGTGTGTAGAACTAGCATACAAATCTGTTCAACCGAACTTACATACCACTGAATACAGGTATCATCATGATCAAAAGAAAGTTCATGCATATTGAGATTCCTATTTGTCGTACAGTTGACATCTGATTTATTGTGATGTTACCATGGATACAAGAACAAATAGAATCATGGAATGATGTGGGTTTTTTCGTGTCAATCAAAACAACCCTTTACATGTCAGTATTATAACAGTGACTGTTGTGCATCCTAGTAATAGTGTTTTTCTCCATTCTGTTTCAATAGGATATATACAATATATACACTGCACCCACCACAGTTTCATTTTGTGTTAAACCCAATTTCACCCCACCTCACCTCATGTTGTGTCAGACCGCCTCCGTGGTGTAGTGGTTAGAGCGTCCGTCCGGAGAGCGGAAGGTCGCTGGTTGATCCCCGGCTGCGTCATACCAAAAAGACATTAAAATATGGTACTTGTTGGTCCCTGCCTGGCGTTCGGCATTAATGGGTACAACAGGGACTGGTCAGCTCGGAGTCAGTATAATGTGTCTGAGTGGGATATTCATGCTTCACTGCGGCATGGTATCTCAGTGGGCTAGCACTATAAAACCAGCTTAAGTCTGGGCTAGTACAAGCAGCCGCACATACACATACACACACATGCACGTCGTCATATGAGCGAAATATTCTCAAGCACGACGTAAATCCCAATTTCACCACACCTCACCTCATTTTGTGTCAGAATTGAATGACACAAGGCTAAAAATAGTCATCCAATCAAATTTAGAGATATGTCAAGTTTACTGTGAAGAGGGAGAGATGGAAACAGTACAATGCAATGATATAGTTAGAATAAGTCTAAAGAAATTATCAATACCGAATGAGGATCAGAAATGAGTATTGTGAGGTTACTTTTGTGCCGCTTTTAGCAATATTCCAGCAATATCACGACGGCGGGGGACACCAGAAATGGGCTTCACAAGTTGTACCCATGTTGGGAATCGAACCCAGGTCTTTGGCATGACAAGCAAACGCTTTAACTACTAGGCTACCCCACCGTCCCGATAAGTATTGCAAGGAGGCAATGCTGTATGACTATCTGGCCAGAGGGGAGGAATATTGCCAAACAGGCTGTACAATGTTCTTGATATTCAAACTATTTAGTGACCCGTGAAGGTCCAGGTTAGAATGAACCTTCAGCAACCCATGCTTGTCATAAGAGGCCACGAACAGGATTGGGTGGTCAGGCTCGCTGGCTTGGTTGACACAGGTCATCGGTTCCCAATTGTGCAGATCGATGCTTATGTTGTTGATCACGGGATTGTCTGATCCAGACTCAATTATTTACAGATTGTTGCCATATAGCTGGAATATTGCTGAGTGGCGTAAAACTAAACTCACTCACTCATTCAAACTATTAAGTATTGGAGTGAATGGTTTAAAAACAACAATCATTTTGGGAAGGGTATGAGGCGACCCTGTTGTTAGATACAGAACCATGGTGATCCCGAGGGAATGGGTGTCTCAGTGGTCTGCAGTACTCAGTGACAAGCTGCATCCTTCTGGGTACTTTGATTCTGCAATAATGGGTTTGATCCATTATGCACAAAGATTATTATCCTTAGTTTGTCATCACCGAAGTGTTCAGGGTTTCTATCAAGGTGGTAAACAGGACTCACTTTCCTCCCTGAGGTGAAACTTCAGGAATCCATATTTGTTTTAAGAGGCGACTAACTTTGTTCATGCACGTCATCGTATCCCTGTTGCGTAGATCAATGCTCAATATCCCAATGACTCAATTGTCTGGTTCACACTCAATTTGCAGTCCAGTCATACAGCTGGAACATTGCAGTGATTTTATAAACAAAGAACAAAACTGAGATGAAACTGCAATACTGTTTAAATGGCATTAGATTACAGTCACTCTCATGCTGTATAGTATTTTCAAATGTGTTCACTTTGCTTTCTTTCACATTTGTTTCAGTTTCAATACATTCTATAACACATCTGTACATATGGTTCATCTTGTTTATTGTCTTTATTAACTGGGGGGAATGATTAGAATGATTAGTGGTGTTGTTTGTGATATTGCCTTGGTATTGTGGGACAATTGCTGTACGAGTCGTTACTCTCAAACTCCCTGCTTGTCATACATGGCCTATAAACAGATTGGATGGTAAGAGTCTGTGACTTGGTTCACTGTATGTCTTCATGCTCCAATGGCAACTCATAACAATCACTGGTTTGTAAACCCATGAAGATCCGGTTAGAATCTGTCTTCAGAAACCCATGCTTGTCGTAAGGGCGACTAACGGGATCGGATGGTCAGGCTCGCCGACTTGGACACATGTCATCATATCCCATTTGTGTAGATCAATGCTCATGCTGTTGATCACTGGATTGTCTGGTCCAGATTTGATTATTTACAGATTGCTGCAATATAGCTTCAATATTGCTGAGTGTGGCGTTAAACAACAAACAAACACTGGTTTGTAATACTAATAGATTATTTATAGACCACTGTCACATAGGTGCAATAGTGAGTGTTGTGTTGAAAACAAACATGACTATTAAAAACGGATTAACAAATGTAATGACAACTGAGGGATGTTTGCTGTTGTTATTTGTATTCAAAGGTTACTGATGTTGTATGAGCTGAGGAACTCATGTACTTAAAGAGGTTAGCTTTCACTGCCATGGAGGAAGAGCCAAATGAGATTTCATTTATTGCACTGTGTCCGTTATCTTTAAAATTTGACCTTTTCTAAAATATACATAATGGTCAATTTATATCATTACAAAGCATTTGTTTTCAGATGCTTTGCTTACAGATCAAATAATAAAGCTATTCACACAAAATTACTACTTGACTTTAAATTAGTTATTTAAATTTTTACTTTAAATTTTACTTTATTTGACATGTGTACTGTCTGAAAATTTACCACCCTTTGTACCTGTGAACCATTAAAAACAAACAAGGCTGAACTGGATTTTGTTGAAATTTGCTCATTTAGCATCACGTTGTACAGTACATACTGATCATTGCAGACACACTATATTTCGAACCATGTCAGGCTTGGAAAACAAAACATACCATGTATTGTTTTTGACCCACTGATGTGTCATGCTGTGGGTCAAGTTCATTCACAGCCTAAAGCCAGAACAAAGGTTTGCTGAGTATATCAGTTTCTGAGGATTCTCTTTTTAATGCAGTAGGCTCAGTATTCAAAACAAAAGAGAAATAAAACACCAAACACAGTATCAAGGATTCCTTAGATGGATAGCCAGCAAGGGAAAATAAAAGTCATCAAAGCAGCATGTTGCTTGCAGTCCAAGAGTTATTTCCCTTCCCATGTTGTGTTTTGAACTATTGGCCTTCAAGTTTCATTGGAGATATTGGAAATGCAGAATCTTCAGATGAGCAAAAAAGTTATGAAGATGTAAAACCATAACAAGTCTATGTGATGACAACAACATCAAGTGAATACTCAAAATGAAAATCAAAGGCAATGACTTGTCTCATTGACAAAGTTATTTTTTGAATAACTTTGAAATATTTCACATGTGTTCTATCATATTTTCTTGGGCTGCAGGGTAGTGATGCGGGTAAAGTGTTAGCTTATCACTGTCCAAGGTTCAGTGCCATGCCTCCCACCAGGTACAGTGTGTAAAACCCAGCATTGGGTTCCACTGACAGGATATTGATGGAATAGTACTTTAAAACCATACTCATGACCGCTATAGATTGTTATTGTTGAACATATATAAATATTTATGTATTTGTTGATGTGACTGTTATCCTTTCACATTATCACAATGTTCACACAAGCCTTGTCAACTTCACTAATGCTGGACTTCACTAACACGTTGAAACTACACAATTTAACTCTTTTAACTCGATGAACCTAAGAAATTTATGGACTCAACTTAGTATTGTGCACAAATGAAAGCATTGTGATATTGTACCTGAATTACAGTAGATTACTGAGATTATGGTAAGCAAGCAATAAGGTGATAATAGAAGAATACTGAGTAAGCAACTATTTGATTTTTTTAGGGTGTACAGTGATTATTTTTCTGAAGAAAGTAATCAAGCCCCAGTCAAACTACAGAATGTTACATATGCCTTCCCAGTAAGGCTGACTAAAAGGATCAATAATTAGAAATATTGTCGACTGGAAGAAAATTAATGACAATTGATATGAAAAATGCATCACCGATAATATCGTACAAGAACTATTGTGATGAAATAAAGTTTGAATTAATGATTATCAATCAGTAAAATTTGTATTGACAGCCTGCCTTACTTCATTGTATCCCCAAAATAGAGTTCATTATTAATGTTTAAGGAATAATATAATCCTCTGTGTTTGGACAATTAACTGAGCTTCTAAATATAATTTACAAAAGACTGATATCAGTCCACCTCACCCCTCCATCACTCCCCTTGAAACTCAAGAGCTCCCTCAGCTGTGGTCAGATGTGTTTGTTTGTTGACAGGACCACAGTTGAGGTATGTACCACCGACGTGTTCCAGTCAAGTACAGATGTCCTAATGTTGATTTCATGATATGTGTAAGTGAACATTTGTTTTGATGTAGCTCCACATATTTTCAATTGTTATAAGGGCAGTGGGGTAGCCTAGTGGTTAAAGCATCCACCAGTGTCCTCTGGTGTGATATTGCTGGAATATTGCTAAAAGTGGCATAAAACCATACTCACTCAATCAAATTATTATTTGTTATTGATCAGTCATAACACTCATGGTTAATTAGACTGATAACAATCACAACGCAAAGATTGACCTGACAAGTCAAAAGTTCTCCTCCAGTGGGACTGAACAGCAAGTTTAACGCAAAGTATTTGACAGTAGCTCCATGAAAGGTTTAGGTTTATGGAAATTGTGTATTATGAATATTCTTGCAAAATGGGGGCGGTGGGGTAGCCTAGTGGTTAAAGCGTTGGCTCGTCACGCCGAAGACCCGGGTTCGATTCCCCACATGGGCACAATGTGTTAAGCCCATTTCTGGTGTCCCCCGCCGTGATATTGCTGGAATATTGCTAAAAGCGGCGTAAAACTAAACTCAGTCAGTCAGTCAGTCTTGCAAAATGCATTGTTTCTTTATTCTTAGTAATGTAGGAGAATCTAATGAGGGATTTGAATCAAAGGTTCACCGTCAATATCAATCTTGGTTAACAGGAGGGTGGTGGGGTAGCCAAGTGGTTAAAGCATCCACTTGTCATGCTGAATACCCAGGTTCGATTCCCCACATGGGTACAATGTGTGTGAAGCCCATTTCTGGTGTCCCCCGCCGTGATATTGCTGGAATATTGCTAAAAGCGGCGTAAAACTAAACTCAGTCAGTCAGTCAGTCTTGCAAAATGCATTGTTTCTTTATTCACTATTTTGAATGGCATCATTACTCCTGTGTAGAAATATTGTGTTGCAATCATTAAATCTAATCAACTTATTTTGGTTGTAAGATGTCTCACATCAAATACAATGGGCGTGGATACCACACAAGGAGCTCCATCCCATAGTAATGTAGGAGAATCTAATGAGGGATTTGAATCAAAGGTTCACCGTCAATATCAATCTTGGTTAACAGGAGGGTGGTGGGGTAGCCAAGTGGTTAAAGCATCCACTTGTCATGCTGAATACCCAGGTTCGATTCCCCACATGGGTACAATGTGTGAAGCCCATTTCTGGTGTCCCCCACACTGATATTGCTGGAATATTGCTAAAAGCGGCTTAAAACTAAACTCACTAACAGTCAGCATTATGTATACTCATGGTCACGAGTTCAAAACGTGATAAATGCCTTCGACCTTGATTACTATTTGCATTCCTTGTATATTAATTTGACACACTATAACAGTGATTCTTGTTCATGCCATCAACCACTGGTTTGTCTGGTCCATAGTCACATTTAGACAGTGTGCCATGATATACTGTAGTGCTTTCTGTGCTGTTATGGAACATTGTGTCAACCCAACCAGCATATACTTGTATACTGAACGAAACAATTATGGATCATGAATTTGTTTTGGTATTTGGGGGAGGGTAGCTCCAAACACAGTCATGATCCATATCTATTTCTGTTCAGTATTAAATTAATAATGAAAGACATTCTTTAATTCTGTATACAAGGTAATGCACCTCTGACATGCATTAAACCATTCTCCATGGTTTCTTTATCTTGTCAATACATGTATGTACTGCCAAGTGTGGAATGACATTATGCTTCAGGAAGTCAAATCCTGTATTTATGGATCTGAGAAAAGCAATATTGAACAAGGATGTAGCACACAGATACACAGACGCCATGTTGACACCTCCAGAGTTATGCCCCTTCTACCCAAGAGTACACATAAGCAACCAAGAGTTGTCTCCCTTAGACCGTTACCTAACCCAAGGCATAAAACAAAAAGTACGAGAATCTGTACAGTACTACTACTAATCCGAAATACGTCTTGACTTCAGAATACTTCAAGATTATGAAACTCAAAGCCCATGAATCAATGAGAACCCATGAATACTAGTTTGTTTGGTTAGGTATATAATCGAGTGTTTATTATATAGGTAGTATTTTTCCTGTATTTGGTCAAAATACCATCACAATTGTGATTTGAGACAGTTTGCTTTTTGCCTGTCCAGAACGGATAGCAGTGTTTTCTAAAGTTTATGTTAAAACCCGTTTTCTTTCATTTATATAATAAAACAATTATAGATTTGTAGGTCGAATTGACGAAAAAGATATTCGCAAGCTCTAGTTTGTTTTTCCAGGTTAGATATCGTAGATAATCGTATATTATATGCAGACCTCCCTTGTCCCAACTACTCACCGGTCATCGCATCGCTTCCCACACGGCATACTGTGTTCAGAGATGCTACGGAAAGAGACGAATAGTTACGACACAACTCATTTGTCACCACTCCCTTGTCCAACTACTCACCGGTCCCTTTCCGTAAACTACGGTAAAGAAGAATAAGAAGATTCGGCTTGTCTCGGATCGAAAGGGAGGTAAATCTGTTTTGCATCTGGTAAAGAGGATATAGTTATTTCCCTTTGACCATCAACCTCCCATGGGTGCACAAATCCAATGACTGACTGACTGAGTTTGGTTTTACGCCGCTTTTAGCAATATTCCAGCAATATCACGGCTGGGGACACCAGAAATGGGCTTCACACATTGTACCCATGTGGGGATTCGAACCCGGGTCTACAAATCCAATGAGTCGTATTGTAGTTGTATATAGGTAACGGAACCAACTGGGTGAACCGTATGAAACGTAAATCCTCGGAACGTGGCTCTTGTAACCACACCATGTCCTCTCGCATAATTCTACTGATTAACAATGAATGGGATCTATGGATGAAACTCGTCGTTGAGTCGTCTCCCTTTGACCACTTGCCTGCGCTTTGACGATTGCAGTCATCGTATGTATGTACAGTATATTTCGCTGCGAGTGCAGGAACCAGTGAGTGAGCCTAACATGCTTCTTTACAGGACCCTCTTTCATAACTCTTCCGAGATATCACTGTGACCAACCTGGTGCACGTTTGAATATGCTTTTTCCTTTCTAACAATGGATTTGGCATTGTCAAAGCGCCACTTGGCCACCCAAAATTCCTAAAGCTGGACCCCACTGACGATGCGCATGGGAAAAATGCTTACTTCTGCCCCAGGCCATCCTCGATAATCTCCAGGGTATACGTTCCGATAAATCTCCACTATCTCCCGTTAGTCGCCTCTTTCGACAAGCATTGGTTGCTGAAGACCCGGGTCTTCTGACCAAATGAAAAACCTCAAGAATAACATTGCCTGGAAAAGAGACAGTGCGTTTGATGATTTCTTGTAAAAACCTATATACGCAACACGAAGAAAATACAGCTTTTTATTCTTCAGTTTAAATATTTACCAAAGTCGTGTATGTAAAAGCACCGACATTCAACAAATTACAAAATCTGAAAAATATGTTTAAAGCGTATAAAGTAATATATAACAATTGTATATATATACAACAAAGAAATACAATTTTTTTACAAATTATAGCTAAACACTCAAGTATACTTAATATAATCGATAAAAACCTAAACACGTACATAAATTCAAGAAGCTCCTGTAAAATATATATATTATAAGGGACGGTGAGGCAGCCTGGTGGTTAAAGCGTTACCTCGTCACGCCGAAGACCCGGGTTCGATTCCCCACATGGATAGAATGTGTGAAGCCCATTTCTGGTGTACCTCGACGTGATATTGCTGGAATATTATTAATAGCGGCGTAAAACTACACTCATACCTATACGTCCATAAATGCAAGAAGCACCTGTAAAATGTACAACCATATTCAACATGCAGTTAGATATAGTGACCTATCGAGTTTGTTGGATTTAACGCCGCATTGAGCTGTATTCAGCAGCGTGTGGGGGGAAAGCCCGGGGTGATGCGAGTCTCAGACGTGAAAGTCACGAGCACGTTAATGGCAAGTTGGCAACCTGGGTATATCATCGAGTTGAGCCGTGGCTCGAACCTACGATGGTTTCTGTGCGCCCAAGGGACGCAACTGTACACAGCGAGTTAAAGCGCCTCATATGAATGAGTCACCCATTCCCCTATAAATGGCACGTGGAATGGCTGTGATTTAACACAAGTGTTATCTCTTGGCCTGTCTCTGAAGCTCACTCATGATGTGCTCAACCGTGATATTGTGTAAATCAATCCTCACTCAATCACTCACTGTTCTCATCTGAAGAGCATGTCCAGTTGAATGATTCACTGAATTTAGCTTTACGCCGTTTTTAGCAATATAAGCATATAATGAAATGGGCTTCACACATTGAACCCATGAAGGGAATCGAATCAGGGTCTTCGGCATGACGAGAGAAGGCTTTAACCACTTGGCTACCACCGTCCCCGATGTCTACTGGAAATATATGCATTGTGTGAGCTAAAGAGGTGTTCAAAATTCATGTTATTATATCGCTGAGTAAAATCAACATACGAACCAGAAGTAAACTGTATGCACTTGTGAGCTCTTAAGGAACCTCTACAGAGGTTACATAATCTTTGCATGAAAAACAATAAGCCCAAAGAATGACACCAACTGAAGTGGACAGAGTTTCACCTTGATGAAGGCTTCTGGTTGGCTGGAGAGGGGAGGAGTATCATGTTGAATTTATTCCACGAGAGTATTGGCAGTCCTAATATTTGCCGAACTGATGGGGTAGTAAGTAAACAGATGGATTGAATGAAGGATAGATAGATAGGAAATGAAACTGAATTCTTGCAAAGACATCGGTAATGCGCAAAGGAGGATTTACATTTAGTTGTGTCTTCATTATGTCTGCTGAAACACCACTTCCAAGAAGTTAATGTTAAGAACACAAAAGTGCCCTATCTGCAGAGAATCAATCTATGTTGAACCATGAGACGCTCCTGCCCACTCCATATCTTGTGACTTGCGGTCATTCTCCTACACACCCTTCCGGCGAAACCGAACACCATCTACAGAAGTCGCTCCACGGATTGGTGGTAAGGCCACTGGAATTCTGCTCTGGCGTCTGCTTGGAGGATTTCTACGTGGACCTGTTGGAGGAGTGGGGACCAGCTGTGGCAGGTTAACGGGAGATTGGCTTTGTTTCTTCTCAAGTGATGTATCTGTCGTCTGCTTGTGAGATGCCACCGTTTTGTTATTTTCCGTGATAGGCGGCAGATAAAGCTGATCCTTCCTGGACTTGCCTGTGTATGGACGCCGTCTGGCTGATCCCACCCGGCCATTATCGGAAGCTGTGGGAGGTTTAGGAACTATTGCCTCTCTCATGTCCTCAACATTTGGGAGTTCTTCGTTCTCAATATCCTCACCCTCCATGTTCATCCAGAGTTTCCTCAGAGAATTGTTTTCCAGAACAGTCTTGAAATAGGATTTCCTCAAACCCTTGTTTTCATCTTGGAGGGAATGCAGCCTGTCAACGACCTTCTTCAGCGGTTGGTTTTGACCAGATTCATCTTTAGGTCCAGAAGCTTGGGCTGGTTAATGTGCCAGATTCGCTTGTAGTTGCCGTACTCTTTTTGATAGAATTTGAGGTCCTTCTCAATCCGGGTATTTGTTCTCTGCATCAATCGGAGCTCTCGCCTCACCTTCTCCATGTCCTGTCTGTATTCAGCCTCGATACTCTGAAGATGCTTCAAGAAGCTGTAAGAGAAGAGTTGGATGTTTCCATCAGACATGTCGGAAGCAGGAATACAAGTATTTACTGTTACTGACTATTTATTGTTCAAAGAAAGAGTACTCGTAAATAAGGTGACAAAACCCTTTCCATATCCATGAGAAATCTCTGCCCAAAGTAGATTTCGACGTTATCATGAGCATATATTCATGGATCGATATCAGATAGGGAGTGAGTTTAGTTTTACGCCACCTTTAGCAATATTCGAGAAATATCACGATCGGGGACGCCAGAAATAGGCTTCACACATTGTACCCATGTGAGGAATTGAACCCGGGTCTTAGACGTGACGAGCGGTCGCTTGAACCACTACCCAATCGCCCCATATCAGATAGTGATGTTACAAGACTCTTGCAGAAGGTGACTATTTTCATTATAACTTGAATGTTGCTCCAAAAGAAAAAGGAATTATCTATCAATGATTACCAGACGTATGGGCAATGAAGACAAGTCTTAATTTTTGTTCTGTTGCTCAGTGAATGACATCATTATTATATAAAAATGTAAATTAACCTAGAGATTTTTATAATAACTTAAATAAGATTACGGACACGGACAAATTTTCATGTAACATTACATAAGGGATCTACATGTAATTGTATCCCAATTACGAAGAACGATGCTCATAATGTTGATCACTGGATTGTCTGGTTCAGGCTCGATTATTTACAGACCGCCGTCATATAGCTGGAATATTGCTGAGTGAGCTGTAAAACTAAACTTACTCACTCACTTAAACTGTTTCTTTCATGAATGAACTTTATTTACATATTTAAAGTCCTAATGCCATACAAACGCATAACGTTAAGACCGAATACTGTAAATTTGACATGATAGTATTAATTTTTCATAACTCGGTTAAAAATCGGTCAATAACTGATATATTGGCGACAGTGTGCCAGGGTGATGGCATATGCTTTTCTTAGATTTGATTGCAAACTGTACGATATTTATTGCAAACTCCAATAAAGTCTAAATTTACGATCTTACATCGATGGTTCACAGGAATCAACGGAAAATATAAAGGACTTTTTCGTTTATTCTGCTCTTGGTACATTTCATGTAATTCAAACGGCGCTTGTGAAATTGTGAATTGGAACTGAAATTTTGTCTGAAAGTATTTTGAAAACATGACGTGTAATTTAACGGGCGGGATGAGACATACGGATTATTATATGTTTAACTTAGTTGAAAAAAAGAACAGAAAAGCAGCAACGTCTAAGTGAAGAAACATTGGATGATGGTTCCGTCTGCCAATTCCATTTAATACTGTTTACGGTGCCTACCATTCCTCTTCGCTCAGTTTTGGGATTTCTGTTCTCTTTTGACTTGTGTTGGAAGCACCTGCGTGTAACAAAGCAATGATCAGATTATTTACAGAACAGCATCAACAAGAGACATGAGACATGAAAAAATAATATGTGGACTGAGATATATCAGATACCTTACCATTGACTGGGGTAGGTGATCGGGACCCTTCGGGCAACTCCAGGATTGGAGACAAAACCTTTGTCCCTGCCCTCATGGCTAACTTATGTAGCAACCGACCCATCTGAAAAAGAGACAAATGAGAAAAAATGATGTTACAAAATGCCTGAAAAAATTATAAACGACCCACACTGTTTGAATATAATTATTGGAAAAGTGGTTTACGGTGTTTGGAAGAAATAGAGGATATAAAGAAAAATGTCTTACAACACCGGTATACCAAAGATAAATGTTAAGTGGCTAAATAAACTTATTATCTTTCAATGTTTCAATAACATACATACGTACTTAAACATTTCATTTCCGGTGTCCCCCGCCGTAATATTTCTGGAATATTGCTAAAAGCGGCGTAAAACCATACTCACTCACTCACTTAAACATTTATTCAATTTTCCACATCAATAAAGAGGATATATTTTGTCAGATTCAGAATCTCGTTGATATTGAAGGCATTGTTTTCAATAGCAAATTTTAGTCCAAGGCTCCTTACGTATAGTTGTGTTAGTTCCATGTAAATTATTAAAATATGTTTGTAGCAAGTCTTACCATTGTTGTGGGATGGTTTCTATCCTATAAATAGCTTTTCCCAAAAGTGTGTAACTTTTATCTTCACAAACTAGACAAACATATTGAGACAGAGATGAAAAATTATGTCACATGGATGAGAGTTATCTCCCTCGGTCGCCCTGACAAATATGGCGGCGAAAGAAATAAGCAGACGTCTGCGTCAAAGACAAATTATAAATATCGACGGATCAAAAGTCAATTCTTACAGGTAAATAAGCTTAACATCTAACAACAACCTACGTTTTGTTTTAATTGATGTTTTACTCTGATATAAGCATTATTTGGTAGAAACGTTAATAAAGATTCCACGTGGGACGGCACGTTGCAAACTCACCGGTGACGCCTGAATTTGTACCCCGTGAAACTTAGTAAAGTAGTTTCAACTTATTTAATTTTAGTTGGGGAAAAATACATCTTCAATTTATTTTTGTATCATTACTACACATGAGATTAAACGTTATTTAAAAAACATTCTTCCTTTACATCCAGATCCTGATTGACAGATTTATCATTTACAGAGACTTGGCTGATGGGCGTAGACTTGTGGTAAGGCCAGTACCTCCAGTCAAAAAAGAAACATGGACACCTGGGTTGTATCCCATTAGAATTATCGACCGACCAAGGACAGGATTTTGCCGGGTTCATTACATTGGTATCTAATTGAATGACATAACCTAGTGGTTAGTGGTAAAGTGTAGAATTTCTACAAAACACTAGTACCGATTTATTCAGCGTTTGTGTAATGATAGTTTAACTAAGTTCTGCTGGGACCAGCACTAAAGGTCCGAACTGTAAAGAAAACCGAATTACCCAAGGTCCGAATATGACAGATTCCACTGTATTTTGTTTGAAGATGTTTGGAACTTCTAAAACGTACTTTATCCGACAGATATTTGTAAACTGTGTCTCTGAAACTGAATTTCTGCGCCCAAAATGGGCCTTTGTGTTTAGTATTTTTTAAAATCACAATAAAAAATCACAAAATATTTTCTTACACAAAACTTAAGAGATTTACTTTTTCAGGATGGAGCACTTCATATGACAGAAGTAATTAAGGTTGAAGACATCGTTGACACTACTCCACCAGACAGACTACCACTTAGACAACTACAGATTGAAATAAAGAAGCACTGAATAACTCACACACAGACAGCAAGTTGTTTATTCGAGTACCTATAACCAGTGATGATTTCGAGGTAATTAAACAGATTGGTGAGGTTTACCAGACCAGGAGAGACAGAACAGTGTACGTGATCTCCTCAGACAATGTTTAGAGCCCATACTGGGAGTCGGGTGGGATTACAGAGTCATCAATGCTCAAGGTGATAACTTTTTTGTCAAAACTGACACAGTCAAGTTTTGGGTTTGGTAAGCAGGTCACTGGTTGATTTCACAGTCTTTCCAGACCACGTAGAGAGTGTTTCCTCGATAGAGGCTATCAACTTTCATTCACCTTTGTCAAAGCCCCAGGAAACCTGTCCCGACTGAAAGATCTCCCTCAATGCCACCAGTTTATAGTCATATAGGCAAGAGTCCAGCATGAAAGTTACAGTTTTACGTCTCATCATGGTAGTCATTTCAAAACTGACGTTATTTAACATATTGCAGAGTAACTTTTTGGGAAAATCAGTTGACCAAAAGAAAACATGGAATCTTTCATTAGCAAGTTAGAGGACGAAATTGGTGTGTCTTATATTGTCAGCGAAAGGGAAAAGGACAATATGAAATCAGAATTATTCAGACTCAGAAAACAAGCAGCAACGTGTAAAAGGAAAGGTGGAAGGCAGTTCAGACATTTTTTTTAGCCAATCTTTCTAAAAAAAAAAAAAATACAAGTGGAATGTAAGTATAGATGGACATCGCAGTGAATTAAAAGTTAATGAAATAAAACAAAACTTGGAGTGCATCATTGATAATTTAAAACATGAAAACCAGCAGTTAGAAACTAAACTAGTGGAAGCACTAAAACCCGAATGTAAACTGAAAAGTAAAGGCTCCCCAGACGGTCCAGGACAGAGATCGGAAAAGGAAGATACTAGCTGACTGTACTCACTCTTATGCAAAGAAAAGGAAAATTGAGCAGTGTAAGGATGCACTATCTTTTGTTGAAGAGGACAACACCAAGGTTTTGTCAATACTAATAGAAAAGGGTGGCAAACACGATGAAATTATCCTTGAAAAAAAGACAAAAGAAATAAGGGAAGACAGCTTGAATAGACTCTTGTATGTATTAGATGTGTTTAATGTAAGCAGCAATGCTTATCATGAACTTACTATGCTGTTCAAAAATCTTCCCAGATCTCACAAAATTAAAGAGACATATTCGCAGTTAAACAGTAACTTTATCATAAAGGAAACTCCAGACGGATTAGGATATGAACAGTCACTCCGAGAGCGGTTACATGCTGTTGTGCCAAATTTGATCGCAAATGACCCAGATGCTTATATTGACGGGACATGTCTTAAAGTAAAAATCTCGGCAGATGGGACACGGATCGGGAAACACTTGCATGTGATAAACGTGGCTTTACTATCCTTAACGATAGTAAATGTGGTTCTGCGCTGGGAAATTACCCTCTAGCCATTGTATGCACTAGGGAACGACACTATGAACTTACTCAGGCCCTTTCCAATTTAAGGGAAGGAAACAGATGAATTAAATGGAACGTGGATCTCCATAGCTGGTGTACAATTGAAACTTACTCTTTATCTAGGTGGAGATTATAAGTTCTTACTCATTGCTGTAGGAATAAGTTCTATTGCATCTCAACACACATGTATATACTGCAAGTGTTCAAAACAGGAACGTTATCGTGTCGAAGAAAAATGGTCAATGTCGGATCCAAACAAAGGGGCGCGAATTGATTATAAGGCATCGAATAGTGACAAAATGCAGAGAAAAACAAAACTGATTATTCTTTATCAAACGATCCTTTGTTTCCCTAACATACCTCTAAGAAACGTGGTGATTGACCAACTGCATCTCTTTCTGAGGGTTACAGATAAGCTGTTCAGTCTTCTTGTGTGTGAATTGAGACTGTTGGACAATGTAAAGACAAACACTTGTTTCAAAGCTGGCCTTGATAGAAATAAGCTTAAACACATGTCTAGACTGGAGAAACAATTAAAAGAAGCAGGGATAAACTTTGAATTTTTTATCAACAAAGATACACGGAAAATAGAGTTTCGTGATTTGCAAGGTCCCGAGAAATTGAAACTCTCAAAGGTATTTAAAGCCTCTGAATTACTTGACGATGAAGAGAGGGCAGGCGTTATACAATCCGTCTGGCATGGGTTTCACTCCATAAACGATTTAGTGAAATCAAGTGCACCCAAATGTGAATGAAGTGTCTTCTGAGATTAATTCATGGATCAAGCTGTATGTAGATGCGTATCAGAGATGTGATGTTACCCCGTATATTCACATCCTTCAGCATCATGTTCCTGAACTGATTGGAATTCATGGAAATTTGATTGGATTTACACAGCAGGGGCTAGAAAAACTTAACGATATCGTAACTAAACAGTATTTCAGAGCAAGTAATCATGGAAAAACGTCCTTGAAACAAATACTCCAGAAGCAAAACCGAATCACCTTGCTGGAGAATTATAAAAGGGTCAAAATGAAAACTGGCACACAGTTAACTACTAGCTAGTTCGAGTGACGTAGACTGAGTGGTCTCACCTCACAGAAGTGTTAAACATGCAGAGGAGGAAGTTTAACTAGTAAGAATTATGTTAAAAGTGTGATGTTTCCTCGCCGCGATATGCTACATGATATAGCACTCTTTGCCGACAGTCAAGTTTCTTTATTGGCATACATAATATCAAAACTTTTCTCCTCTTTTAATGGAACAAATGCACAGAAGCCGACTTCTGGATTACACTGTCTGCAAGAGTACAAATTCCTGTACTTTAGTGGTTGTATTCGAGGAGGGGCTAAAACTCAGTAAGACACCTCACGCCAGAACTCAGCCTTACAACACTTTAACCTCGACTTTAACTATGACCACAGTGAGCCCTGGTGGCGAAGATGTGGGTTTGAGACTCGCATCATTCAACCACGAAAGTAAAAGAATTTGTACTACTGCAGGTAGTTTGCTTCTTTGTATTCTTGTCTATATGGTTAACAGTTTTATTCTTTGAGGGGTAGATATGCTCTGTCAATGTTTTTGACATCTAATTGAGTTTGCCTATTTAATGCAATTATATTGTCTTGTTTTAAGACTTATTTTTGTTCAAGCAAGCAATTCCGTGTTGATGTCGGTTGGGTAGGAGAGCTGAATGCAAAGAAGCCGTGCTTATGCTTGCTTTTGGTTTAGATGATAATTTTCACCACATGAAAAAATAAATTTATTATTATCTTTTGTTATGAAATATACCTAAGGATGAGGTATGATAGTTTCAGCTTGTGATTGCTGTGTGCAAGGTTGAGTAAACTCATGTTTGGATGAACGTTTAATATCATTCGGATGTTGTTTAGAAACCAAGATGTAAAGTGATTGAGATAAAATATCAGTATATCACCGTGCGTCTGTATGTCCCTCTCCTTTTGAGGAAACCGTTATTTGATTTGAGAATGTTATTATGTTTGGAGCACATCAAAATCTAGTCTGTATACGAGTGTGCTTTCAAATAATGTATGCGTACATGTTTCCTATTGCTGTGAATGAATAGCAATGTCCCATGTCGAAAATAACATTGTGAATGATAGCGTTAGGTTTATTTTAAATGTTTACAGTTTGACAAAGACAAAAACTTGATTTTTTCCGTTAACATAACGGAAACAAAAAAGTTAAACCATTTCTGGTTCGCCTTACTGTATTTACATTAAGTTTTGAGAGCTAAAAGGTAGCTGATCTTGCTTTTCGAACTTTTTCATGTTTGTAGGAACATCGATCAGTTTAGTGTTTTCAATTTAGCTTCCTGGTTAAGGTAAAATACAATGAAGTCATTAGCCTCCTATGTTTCCATAAGAAATGAGTTTGTTAAAATTTTGTAGGCAATAATTACATGGGTTTTTTTTAATTAAATGCTCAACACATAGATAAAAAAAACGCTTCTTGAATGAGTTTAAGGTTCGGTGAATAAAGTTAAGTCACTAATGGGATTGGAAATTTCATTTTATGGTTCATGTTATTTAATTTTTAGCTCCACAGGCCTGAAAGGCCCGATAGGCGTGTGGCATGGCACGCAATCCGGCGTCCGGTCATCCGTCTGCTCTAACAACTGAGTGCATGGGTCATATCTAATTTGCATATTTGACCTTGCTATGATCTTTACGCCTATGTATTTGTGTGGATTGTTTGAGATATCCTCTTCCTCCCAAACAACAAGAGACCCGAAGCTCACACTTTACATGTTCCACGTACTTTATCTTCGTCAGTGTTGCCCATGAGTAGTAAGCTGATGGTGTTTGTATTAGATATTAAAGTTGATCGCCAGCAGGCTACACAGCATAATTCACTTTCTGCAGAGCCCGTAGCGCCGTTTTAATATGGTAAGTTGTTTGGTTTACCAATCTGTCATCAGGAAATGACATATAAATATATGTAGCAGCATGGAGTGCATTTATGTTGGATGAATTAATACAATAAAAGGAATCGCAAACATATCCTTGTGTTTTATTTTTTACCTGTTTGAACCTGATTTTCCCGAGTTAAACAGTGTTGGTGATGACAGCTACATTAGCATTATGAAAAGCAACGTGTAAAGGCATGAAACCTGTTTATTCAGTTTTAAGAGAAACTTTACATGAATGATTCTTAAGGGTAACAAATTGCATGAACACCGGTTATGTTATATTTGCAATTTTCCGTAAAAAGACGGTTTAAATATTTATGTTAGCGGTAATTAAAATATCGTATTAGGTAGCTGGAGAATTCATCTAACTACACCAGCTCGCAATGGAAACTCTATGAATAAATGACCTGTGGAAAACGAAGTTTTGCGAGCACGAAAGTCTAAATGGAGCTGAACTCAATGCTACTGAAAAGGTTATTAAAATTTTATTCGTGATGTTTGACGGTTGAAAATATCGATGAACATGGGAAATGATTAGTTGTTTATTGTAAGCTAATAACTGTAAATGTCAGGTTAGGTGCATCGGAGTAACCTGTATCTTGTTAAAATGTTATTTGCCATTAACCATCAGAAGTTACTGCTTTTGGTAACGGACATGGGGATAACATGCAGAAGGGGAGATAACTCTGTCGCGAACAACTTTCAGTTGTGAAAGTGTCCCGATATGCTCCCGCTTTAGATACAGAGCTGACAGCTGCGTGACCACGCCTCCGCTGTCACAAGGGTCTGATTGTCGTGACGTCATCGTAAGCTCCTCACAGCAATACCTCCTTCATGATTTGTTATGCTATGACGGTAGCACGCACTGGGATGGAGCTCGTTGTTCTGAAGCTAAATTTTGGAGCGCGCCGCCTATGCACAAAATAATTATTTTCCGGCAGAAAACAAGTGAGTGCCACTTGAATATTTTGTGTGAGATAACGAAAAACAAGTAAATGACGACGAGTGCGATAATTGTGTTACGATGACTAAGCTATCAAGAGATTTTATAATAGAGATTCGCTTTGGAAACGATATATCTTAGAATATTTCTAAAATGACCTTGGAAATCACATGGAATTGATATCTAAATATAACGGTGGCCAGTAAATGATCACTGGCCAGAAAAAAAACCATAGGTTAATGTTTAAAAGCAGTCAACGTTTCTCGTGGTTGGGGATACAAACCATGTACGACATGCCACATGTCCTGTCCACCTGACCATTATAAGTCAAATTTTACGATACAAATTCGTTCTAAGGACCAATTCTAACCCGGTTATGGTATCAAAGCAGCTTTTAACAGTTTAATCTGAAAGGAATACCTAAACTTCGACCGGAATATACACCACAACATTTTGCCCCTCCAGCAACGTCTTCCCTATTGCTGCTCTGGGCAGTATTCCAATAACATTGTAAATGATTCATGTTTCGGGGTTAAAAAAAAAGTTTCCAGAGGGTAGAATATTCCTATAAGGAAAATATTCTGGAAACAAAAATCTTGGAAAATAATTCGAAGGAAATTTTCATCTAGGATATAACTTCCCATAAAAAACCCTTTGGAGTGGAATACACATCCCATTCCGATATCACAACAACTCTATCTAAATGGTAGCGAACGGTATGGGTCACGCATAGCATTGTGTCAAAAAGTAGAATTTCGTAATGTATACCCGAGTATATTGTTTTCGAGAAACGTTCAATGAAGGCGTGTGGCGGAAAGGGAATGTTGCCTAAGGACTTCTAGTTTGATGACTACCTTTAATATCAGTGAGTGAGTGAGCGAGTTGAGTTTTACGCCGCACTCAGCAATATTCCAGCTATATGGCGGCGGTCTGTAAATAATCGAGTCTGGACCAGACAATCCAGTGATCAACAGCATGAGCATCGATCTGCGCAATTGGGAACCGATGACATGTGTCAACCAAGTCAGCGAGCCTGACCACCCGATCCCGTTAGTCGCCTTTTACGACAAGCATAGTCGCCTTTTATAGCAAGCATGGGTTGCTGAAGGGCTATTCTAACCCGGACCTTCACGGGTTCCTTTAATATCAGGCAAATGACGCAGATTGTAGACATTTACCACTTTAATGGTTCCATATATGTTGGGTTTGCGAATTATTCCCGGGAGAGTTTTGGATTCGATCACATGATCAGCGGGTCCAGACAAGGCTAAGGGAAATAACTCTTGAAATTCAATGGCGACCCATGGTCAACAATATGTGGCCCCAGTATATAGGTCTATTCATGGAAGACCGACAGAAGAGAAAAGCAGTCACTTAATGTTATATTACTTTATTGACACTCAAATTCGGTTTAGATACATCAGGATATAGTTTTCACTGCAAACAAATGAGAGCATTAATGAGAGCATTCAACTACATAGTGCTGGTCAAGAATATTGTCAAGTGTTCCAGGTCGAAAGTCAAAATACGCAAAAGTCCGGAATTGCTAAAGAAGATGTCAGAGGTCAGTAACACTGCCCACTGCACAACCATGTAACTTGGTATTCGGGTCAGCATCGTTGTTTGACATGAATCAATCAATTATCAATCAAGTTTATTTCGTAATTCAGGACACATGGCCCAAAGTACAGTTGCAATATAAATTCAAGCCAATTGTCCACATCGGCTTTATGTAAGACACACTTTGAAAAGAATAACCTCCCCAACCTCTGTCCCTTACGGCAAATTAAACTGATTTAAAATATACCACACCGAGTAAACAATATGTATCAAAAGACCCGTGAACAAAAAAAAGATAGATAAACAAGCGGTCGACATTTTTGCGAACGTCCCCTCAAATCAGCCACGCCAGAGAGCCTTTCCAGTTTGAGACCCCTTTCGACAAACAATGCTAATTCCGAACTGAATCAAATTATTTAAATGGGGTTTTTCACCAATGATCTAATACTCTTATAAAAGTATTCAGGTGTTGTTTTACTGAGATGGACTGCTTTATGAGATGGGATGTTTTACTGAGAGACACGAGTTATGTTGAATATTTCACTAAGAGGAAATGAGAGACACTCATAAACTGAGACAATATTTTTATGGAGATGGACTATTTAATTGAGACTCTAATAAACTGAACGAATGTTTTACTTGAGGGACACTGAGTCATAATGAATATTTTACTGAACTTGAAATGATAGATACTGATAAACAGAGACAATATGTTTTAGGACATTTGTGATTATTTGGTCATTCAGTCCGCTATATATAAGGCGTGACTCTCCTGGGCGCGGCCCTGTGTCCGTCCACAGACTTGACAGGAGTCTTCGTGGGCATCTTCCTGAATATGTCGCGTCTGTTTTTGAGGATGAAGACGACGCAGACGACAATGACACCGAAGGAGAGGAATGTAATGCTGAAGGAGAGGATCTGTAACCACGTGAGACAAATCCCGGACACTGAAAAGACACGAGACCACATTACATATTTATCAAGATGCTTTTCTTCCATAATAGACATACGATCAGAGTTTGCGACTTACCCAGATTCATCATCAAATGTTATCAAACACACCACATTGTATTATGAGGACACGCATTCAATTAAATTGTAACAGTGAGTGAGTTTAGTTTTACGTCATTTTGCAATATTCCAGCACCATCACGGCTGGGGACACCAGAAATGGGCTAAATTGCAAGAACAGATCACTCAACTCGAAGAACAAGCGTAATGGGGGGTATGTTCTGACCAGGAGGTACCGTTGTGCAAAGCAACCTTAGTGCTGAGGTTATCGTAACTGCCATACCTTAACCTGGACTGTCGTAGCGCTAAGGTTATTTCGTACAACGGCACTCACGAATCCGTGCCTGTCTGCACAGTCCTTAAACATAGCCCTATAACAGGCGTATCACTGATTGTTGATGTTAATAATGACAAGCAAGAATGACACAGTATAATGACACAGTTTTCACAGTTGTTGTACAGCTGTATGGTAGTGGTACTCACTCGGCCTTAGCCCAGCAGGACACGCCACCACCGCCCCGCACACCTCGGCCTGGTACGTTGTTATACGCCTCCCTGCAACAAACCAGACATAAGACTTTATTACATTCAGAACAGTAACGCGCTGATTCGTTGATACCGTACAGATGCAGGGTGGTCCCTTGTAACATAGAATATTCGCTGATTTCAGTATCTGACGTCCTGCAGGATCATATATCATTGTGTGAAAATAAAAGGGTGCTGAGCCAAAATATTCCCTATGTTACAAGTGAACGGCGGTCGCCAAACGGTTCAACGAGAAGCAACAAATCGCGCTGACTTAAGTCTCTTAGCTACCTGGATAGGCTGTTTCATCTGAGTGAGTGAGTGAGTGAGTGAGTTTAGTCTTACGCCACACTCAGCAATATTCCAGCTACATGGCTTCGGTCTGTAAATAATTGAGTCTGGATCAGACAATCCAGTGATCAATAGCATAAGCATCCATCTAGGCAATTGGGATACGATGACATGTGTCAACCAAGCCAACGAGCCTGACCACCCGATCCCGTTAGTCACCACTTACAAGCATGGGTTGCTGAAGATCAATTCTCACCCGGATCTTCACGGGCCTCACAAGGATGAAAGTAAAGTGGTTAATAAAGATCTAATATGGAGATAATATAATGCAAATCAATCACGCAAAGTTACGTCCCTTAGCTACCTGGATCCGCAGTTTCACCCGAAGTTGATTGAGCAAATATGGGGCTGACAGACTATGACCAGAGGATACTTGCACAGCAAAGGAAACATACAATGCACATTACGGATTCACCAAATCGACTTGTGAAGCGGACTGTTTGTCAACAGATCTTGCTTGTTTGTTGTTTAAAGCTTCACTCAACAATATTCCAGCTATATGGCGCCATTTGTCAAATGAGAGGTCCGCGTGTGGTCGCACACTGGGTCCATTACCTCCACACCCTCTGCTTAACCTTATCGTCCTTTGTAAGCTGGTTAGCCCCTCCAGATGGAAGATACTGTGACATCTTTCAACCTTGCTGCAGATAAAGCAACACCGGAGCCCAGTGTATAAGCGTGTTGACATCAATATACACATCAGCGCATTTCAGAAGTATTTTCTTATCGCTAGTTGCCTTATAAAGTTGAGTATATGCTAAAATAACTTACTGTTGTATTCCTTTGGGAATGAACACATCATATCTCCCTGGAGCTCGATCCTTTTGTCGGCGGCAAACTGTAGGAACCATAACGCCGCACAGGAACACGTCCACGGCACGTTGTCCATACTAACCGTTCTCAGACTCTCAAGCCCGTTGAAGATGTTGTTGCCGATGTAGGTGAACGGGTTGTTGTCCAAGCTGATACGGCTCAGATACTTCATCTTGCTGAACAACGCGAAATCCATAACCCGAATACGACAATTGTTCAACGTCAGAACGCTGGCCTCCGTGAAGGGGTCAAGGACACCACGACTCAAACCCCCCTGAGCAAGTTTGGTGTTGGACAAGGCGAATTCTCCCCTAGGTGTCGGGATGGTCGTATCTTTCTTGATGTTCACACCAAGAAACGCGTTTATGTCGAGGTTGTCGATGGAACCGCCTTTGATACTTAACAAATTGACTGTGCCAAGGTTTGTGAAAGCTCCAGATGGAACGCTGTTGAACTGGCAATTTAAAATCCGGACATCCTGATAAAAATCCATCCCTGAGAAAGAGGAATTGTCCAAACTGAGCACGGCCGACCCACCAGTGGCGCAGATGATCGTTAAGGAAGATGAATAGTTCGGGTCAAACGTTGAGACGTTTACTTGAGCGAAGTTTATAAACGACGATTCTTCAAGGACGCCGTTTACATCCTTAATAACTAGCCTCTGAGGTCGAGGGTCGAATCCATTGGCATTGAGAGGAATTGAAGTTTTGAACCCACACGTGAACAGTCCGTCCTTGTATTCACATCCGGCGGGCTGGCTCAGGGGCGCGGATGATTTGATGAGTAAAAACCACACGACAACAGCTACGTGAAGCATTTTGAAGAACTAGTTAGCGTGTAATTGGAGAGAATCAACAAATCCCTTGGTCTTGTCCCACAAGCTCAATACTTCGATCTCACTGACCGTACAGCCATGGTGCCATCTCCTCGAATCTATGCAGATTTGCCCTTCTCGTTCAGATGATGGGGTTTAAGTCCTCATCAATTTGTCCGGCGAAAAAATATATAGTCCCTTTGGTCTGTTCAACAGCAAACAGTACACTCTAGATCCACGATAACATTGCCGGAACAACGGCTTTCTTTTTGTGGAAACAATTTCTCAGCAACCGAAGGGTGAGAATTATTTCACAGTTTTCAAACATGCCTCTTGTGACGTTGATATGTTTCTTTTGGATCGCCAAACATGGTTAATGGATACATAAACATACTCAAGTGGATGTAATACTGCTCTCTTTCATAAACACATCAAATAACTGGCCCTGAAACAACTGGGATATATTTGCGAAACCGTGCTTACCTCCCCTTGTTTACAATTTACTGTGTTCTGACTGGTAAACCACCTAACCTTATACAGGTCAGCTTAGGATACCCTGCACGGAACCAGAACAGTTATATCATTTGATCTGGAATTTTTTCTTGAGGTGTTTGCGAACAATACGTTCCATTTCGTGGTTTGGTCGCGCGATGTATTGTCAAGAATATATTAAAATAACACCATACTACGTAGTGTAATAAGCAATTGGTGATTATGGGCGTTCAGTAATATCAGAGAACGGCTTGTCGCCGAAAGTACCAAGGGGCGACAACATTTCGACAGACGTATATAATTTGGAATGAGAACCATTGATTCTGAAAATGACACCATTTAGAAAGATAAGTGAAGTCTTGACAAGTTAAGTGCAGGTTTGTTTGTTGTTTGAAGCTGTTCTCAGCAATATTCCAGCTATTTGGCGTCGGTCTGCAAGCAATCGAGTCTGGACCAGACAATCCAGTGATCAACAACATGACCCCGTTAATCGCCTCTTTATACAAGCATGGGTTGCTGCAGATCAATTCAAACACGGATCTTCAAGGGTCCTTAAGTGCAGAAGCTTAGTGTTGCAGGTTTGAGCACTTACCAACACACTTTCACTCACTCACTCCAACATCGCTTCTGAAATGAGCTTGAATAGAAAATACAAAACAATTAGCTAATCGCATACATAAAATAATATGCTTCAAACACACGTTAGACCATTTATAAACATGTGTCTGAAAATTGTTAGGTTAGTGAGTGCTTAAAACTGAAAAAAAAATATCACAGATTCAGAGATTTAATTATCATATTCTCAGGAAGTCTCTCGAATGAACTTATGACCTGTTGTGAGTCTTTCATGCGAGTTCACAACGCAAAAACCCGGAACCAGTCGAGAAGAAATTATTTGTCGATTATTTAAGCTTTTTGTTTGATCCAATGGGCCTAAGTGTGTGTGTTTTACTGAAAGTAGCTGATAAGCCTTAACAACAACCGTATAATAGTCTTTCTTTTCAACATGAGTGTATTACTGAAAGAGGCAGGTTACGTTGCGGTGTCGCGTTTCACACTAATGCTTTCAGTCATGCAACGGTGTTGGTCGTCTCAAAATACTTTACACAAAATTTAGTTTCTAAATAATTTATTCTATGCCTTTAGTACGAGATATCTACGGAACACCGAGTCTCTTGATATATTTTTACTGTATTGATACGTTTAAAACTCGTCATTAGAATAATTTGAAATTACCCTCCTGGGGAGATAAAGACAGGACACATATGTAGACATAATCGATTTATCCCATATTTATTCGGATGTGTTTTGATACGATTCCCTTATTGGAGGAATCAGAAAGATTAAATAAAAAGAAATATGAGCGATTACGTAAATAATATCCCCTCCAAAGGCAAATTGGCAAAATTATTACGGACAAGTTACAGATATTATCAGGTTATTGACATCATACGCAAAGTGCATCTAAGGACAACCCTTATCTGCATGTATTGCACTTAGTCTTGCTTCACGGTCAGTACAAAGTCTGTTATCTTCAGAAAAGGGGGGCGGTGGGGTAGCCTAGTGGTTAAAGCGTTCGCTCGTCACGCCGAAGACCCGGGTTCGATTCCCCACATGGGTACATTGTGTGAAGCCCATTTCTGGTGTCCCCCGCCGTGATATTGCTAAAAGCGGCGTAAAACCCCACTCACTCACTCAAGAAGAAGAAAGAGAGCGAGTAAAAAATAAATAAAAATCCCCAAGAAAACGTCCACCCCGCGCGTCTAAAAGGGTCATTATCCCAGTTACATTACTCAGATTATTCTGGGGACGAACTGAACTCGGATCATTAACACGTCGTCAGTTGTCACGACCTTATTCCGTTATATTATGAAGTTTCATTTTTGACTTATTCGAAGCAGGACGTAAATCAACGTTCATTGTGGCACTTACGCCGCATGCCCGGAATAGGGCTCTGATTATATAACCAATATACAAAGCATAGGCGGATCCAGGGTGTGTGTGTGTGTGTGTGCAGGGGTCGCGCATCCCCCCTTTGGTGCTGAAAGTTTGTTAAATGACCATTGAATCTCGGAAGAAAATGAAATGTGCACCACCTCCCTCAAAAAGCTGTATCCGCCCCTGCAAAGCAAGCTTCGTCGTTCGCCACAATCTTTCCCTGAAGGGAAATAACTCTCATCGGCATATCACCACCATTGGTTAAGAACGGCATTATCTCCCCTTAGACCGTTTCCCCGACAATCCTTATGCAACTCTAAAATACCACTACAATAATCAAAACATGAATTACAAATAAAAGCTTTGCGAAAACAACGGAGTGCAACACTTGCCTCTACAAGTGTTTGTGATACGGTCACTTTATCGGAATACGCAACATAGGCTTATCACGATTTGAATGTGATTCATAAACAGTTATTTATTATGTACTGGGAATTTAACATTGGAATTCTAAGATTTTTTTTCTGTCGGATAATGTTTTGTCTGTGCCAATCTGGGGTTCGCTCTTGAAAATCAGCTGTTGGGCTTATCACCTAGGGATGCAGTGTACGCTATTCGCATTCATTGGGACAAACCGCAATTACTACTACTTACATAAGTTGGTCGGCCTCCGTAGACCATACAATACAACATGGTTGTTTCAACAGGTTTACATTTCATAAATACCAGACTGACACCCCCAGGCATAAACATATCCAAAACAGTTTTGATACAGAAAGTGTTTACTCATTCCTCGACAGGCGACGACGTCAGTAACGACATACACTTCAAGTACTTATTTAAATCAATATACTTTAGCATGTCACTTAGATCACTTTGTTTTGGACTAAACACGTTCCATGGTCTGCTGCCCGGAGTCCAGGGTCCCGTTTCACAAAGGTGGTGTATGATCGCCGATAAATACGAGTGTGAGGGAGTTCAGTTTTACGCCACTTTGAGCAATACTCCAGCAATATCACGACAGGGGACACCAGAAATGGGCTTCACACATTGTGCCCATGTAAATCGTACCGGAGTCTTCAACGCATTAACCACAAGGCAACCCCAACTGCCCCCAGTCAATATGAAATAATGAACTAAAATCTACATGAAGGGAAGTGTTTTAGGTTGCAGTTTTTATGGGATTCATGAACATTACCGCAGCAAAGAGATATGGTGTTTTTGACATGTTTGTGACTGGTCGCTTGACAATAAAATGCAAATCATAATGTATAGAATATCGTGGTTTTAATGCGGAATATGACTGAATAACAACGAACCAACCAAAATAATAGGCAACCCTAATAGCTTACGTTATTAAGAAGTTGCTTTAATTCAAGCAGTATTCAATAATTATTATTGTTTATTACTCGCCCGTGGAAGATACTGCAGTGTAATATTTTTTACAGCAATATTTAACTAGTGTAATACCGTAGACGTATGGCGTCAAATTGGTTTACAGTTATGACGTCACAATGCTAATGCCTCACAATTTAGGAGATAAACCTAGTGTGTTTGAAAATCAGAGACATGCTTTACTGAATTGATGGCGACTAAATTTCAATTGGAACCGAACGCGTAGCGTGAGGTTTCAATTGTAATATTTAGTCGCCATCAATTCAGTAAAGCATGTCTCTGATTTACACTAGGGTTATCTCCATTCTACCATGACCCATTTAAAATCGAACTTCCTCGCTCTGCGGAAGACACTGCGTAATCCGGCATGGGACGAGAGGCGAATTGAACTCGTCTGTGAAGGGAGCGGTAGATGCCGTTCGTATTTTTTTAACATTACCACATAACAATATTCTGTCCAAAGAAATCAAACTACTGTTTATTCAATGCAATTATGTAATACCCGAGATCTTGTGGTTTTTTTTCATCCAAACTCCACACGACTAAAACCAGCCTATTGTTTTGTGTGCCGTGAAACTGTACCCCCCCTGGCCTCACTATAATGGAATCGTCTGACCTACTTATTTTCTTCGAAGTAGACAGTTACGCAACAGTTTGACATGGCGGACGAGCCAGTGTTTACATTTTGCGAAAGGTTGCAATTTGAAGTGACAGTGGACAATACTTGACTGACTGTTGAATCTGAACCCTGCAGAATCGAACAAGAGATCCTTTCCTGATCAACCTACGACCTGTAACTCACCAAAGACTGTTGATTTTTATGACCGGCCGATAATGATTTCACGTACTGCTTCCACCCCCGCCATGCGACAAAAGCGTGACAGTGCTGCTGCATAGTATACATGCGACTAACTTGTGATTCCTTGGAACTTTGTCTTCATCGTTTGGGACTGGACTGTGTCCAAGCGTTTTTCAAAGTAGATGAACATGACAGTGACCACCTTTCGGGAAAGTTGGCAGACAACAGAATTATTTTGTGAACGATGCAACGGGATATGATGGAGTATGACTATGAGTGGCATAAATGTGGTGTTTTGCCAGACCGTTAGATCTATCTTGCAAATTTCCCATTCTAATGGAATTAAATATACCATTTACCAGGTAGGTAAATGTTTACT